AAGTCTCTGATGGGGGAAATATGTTACAGGATTTCAGGGCAGGAGAAATAGGGAAACTGAAACAGGAAAGTTAAAACAAGGCCAAACAGTGTGGGCAATTTGCAGCCAGTTTGTAACTAACAAACCATTATCTTCCCCAGCCAAGGACACAGAGAAAATGGTTAAAAAACAACAACCTCCCTAATGAAAAAATGCAGAAAGGAAGAGGGAAAGGGGAAAGGAATAAAAAAGGTTTATATTACTTCCTAAGCAGAGAAGCCAGCAGTCTAAAGGCTTGGTAAAATAAAGTTGCCAGGTGCTTTTCATGAATTCTGGGAAAGCCACAACAAAGTAAAAAAAAAAAAGGGACATTGAGAATTAATCTGTACCAAAATAGTCATCACAGGAATTTTGAAGCCTATAGACAGGAGAGTATATAATGCCTCAGACCCCCACTCAACTTGCTCTTCAGATGAGTTGAGAGCCTGTCTGCACTTCATAAGCCAGATGTATAGATTTGCTTGTTTTCTCAATAAAGATGCATGCTTTAATTAATTGTTTTTCACAATGCAGTCAAGGTCTCTCATATAAATTCATTTATATGAGAAGATAAGGATCGAGGTTGGGGCAACCCCCTCTACTGACTCAGGGGGTTGTCCTGCCCAGTAACACCTCTTTGGTGTTGGTGAGAGGTGCCTATAACCTGTAGTAGGCATATAGGTGGCCTGTTGGGTGGGATTGTTAGAATGGAAGTAATCACTGTCTTTAAAACAATGTGTAGAATAGTCAGCCTAAGGCATGTCAAAAGTCACACCTTGTCAGTTATTTAAACTCAGTGGTTTGCAACAATAAGCCCTAACCGGTTTGGCTCAGTGGATAGAGCTTCGGTCCCAGGTTGGATTCTGGTCAAGGGCATGTACCTTGGTTGCGGGCACATCCCCAGTAGGGGGTGTGCAGGAGGCAGCTGATCCATGTTTCTCTCCCATCTATATTTCCAACTCTCTATCCCCCACCCTTCCTCTCTGTAAAAAATCAATAAAATATATTTAAAAAAAATAAAATAAAATGCTGTAATTCCTGGTATTTATTTCATAACTCCTATGCAGCAAAACACATTGATTTTTGTTTTTGTGTCAGCAAGTTGCCCTCCTGGTTGTGGTCTAATTTATCCCTTTACATTGTATCCCTGAGAAAAAGTCATAAGACCAGTTTTTCTATGGCCAAATATCAAAAGTAGAACAGTTCCATACTAAGAATTTCATGAAGTATGTTCATAATCAAGTTTGAATTCATTTGATCCAGGGTTCTAGGACAACATTTGTAGCATGTGGCCAATAGAATGTTCTCTTCTCTCACATAGAAGAGGAAAAGTGGCAATTGAAATTCCTCCTTTGCCTATGAAAGCAAAATTTTCAAGTAATGGGAGTGTGGAAGGTGAGCAGAAAGCAGAGTTTGGATAATTTCTATGGGGACAGATGATCTTTAAAATATATTTTATTGATTTTTTACAGCTCCTACTTGCTTAACAAGGGGATACCTTTGTTATCTTTTAGAAGTGAGGCTCAGAACAAGTGCAAGGGAAGGACAAAGGTGCAGAGTCCAATGTGGTTATTCTTTATGGTCTAGTGGTGCAGCCCTCAGTCACTTCATCAAGTCTCAATTTCTGGTCCACTCAGTGAAAGTGAGATGTAGTTAGAGTTCACTGACTCTTTCATAAAAACACTATAAATGTATTTGTATAATTTCCAGATTTAAGAACAATAAAATATAAAACAAATCCTTACCCACCACTTTAATGCCTTACATACAGGGTAAGGCACCCAGTGAACCTCTGTTGCTAACCACATCCTTACAGTTGGGAGAGATATCAAGACAGCTATCTTAGAGATAAATCTTCCTCATGAAGCAGGTTGTCTACTTATAGAATCAATATGAAAATCAATGTATATTTTATAGAAAATACTTAATGTATATAAATTTATTTGCTTTGGCAATTTATTTATAATTGATGATGAATACCAACAATTGAGGTGAAAATACATGAGGTATAAATATAATATTTAAATGCAATATTGTATTTTATTTCCATTAGTAAAATAACTATGAATAAAATATTGTGGTATTAGACCCGCAAGTTTGATGCATCTTTCCCCTCCTTTTTCTTTTTCTTAGATGCACTGTGCTGTTATGCAGCAGTGATGTAATTAGTGTGTAAGTAAAAAATTTTTAAAAAGCCAGGAAATTTGAAGAGAAGGGGAGCCAGAAATACAATCATTTTTGTTTTTATTCTATTTTAAGTATCTTCTAGGTCTTTGCTTCTCAGAGTGTGGTCTTTGGGCCAGCAGCCTGGGCCTATTAGAAATGCAGAATCACAGGCCCACCCAGACTGCCTGGATCAGAATTTGCATTTGAACAGGATCCCCAGATGATCTGTGTGCATGCTACAGTTGGTGATAGAATACCATTTATCTTTGTGTGCCTAGCACAGTTTCCAAACATGTAGGGTCCCATTTCTGGAATAGGACCCATGTTAAACTAGGTTAAACTTCACTAATGATCTTGTCTATGCCCATTAAAGTCATCCAGCACATATGGTTAAATTTAAGATGTATGGCAGAAGTGATTTTGTTTTGCTCACAGGGCATTGCCCAATGGAAAATTATGGCTTTGCTGCCACCTTCTAGGTAATCAAAGAAACAAAAAACTCCTAAATCATAATTCAAACAGTATGATTTTTCTTGCTCCACACAGAACTCATATATAACATTTTAATTCCTCTCAATAAAATAATTGCACAATACTGATAAAAGAAAGCATTACATAAATGCATACAATACAAAAAGGGGAAAACATTTTTCTTCTTTTTTTTCCTCTAACACCAGTTGCTAAATGATGATACCAATCTCTATTTAGAGATCTGTCTACCTCAAACCAAACACAATAAATTATCTTTCTCTCTACAGTTGTTGAATTATAATTAAGAAAAATTAAACCCATTAACAATTGATTTAGGAGAGTCAACTTGCTTAGTCTATGTAATAATAAATAGGGTCAAATGCACAGGTAGCTTGACTGGCTAATGAAGAAACATGGGTTTAACAAACCTGTTTATATTTTCTAGAATTAATTGAAGAACTTAGTTTTGGTCTTATGTTAGTTTAAAACCCTGTCTTTCACATTGGAAAACTTAAATGAATTATGTCTTAAGAGCATCATACATAACAAAATAAGAATTCCCTGAAGCTATAATTAATGGTCCAGGACTCTTAGATGACCATCATCTTCCTTTGTCTAGTGTCCAGAGTCAAATTCAGTGCAATACACTGGTAGGAAAATGCCAATTACCTGTGACCAAATAGGCCACTGGTCAAATAGAATGACATTTAAGAACATTATGAAATGTATCTTTGAAAACATCATAGAACAAAGGGGCTCCCTTTGGCTACGTATATGCAAAGGCTGTTCTAGTCAGCTCTAGTTAGCAGGGACATAGGGGTTCTGTTCAGTCTCTCACTGACTCCAAGGGTTCTAGGGGTCTGATATTTCACTGAATCTGCACCCGGTGGGGCCAAGGAGCAACTGGGAATCTAGCTGTAAATTTGATAGTGACTTCTCACCACTTCTTTGCTTTAAAAAGGAGAACCCATTGTTTTCCTTGCTTTATCCAGCACTCCACTCTCAGTTTTTAAATAACAAAAGTGGCCTGACAACACTTAAGAACCTTTTAATGTTGTTTGCCTTTGGTTAGTACATCTTTGGTTGAACATCAGGGCAGACTGACAGGCTACACATTTTCACACCTTCCTGTCAGCAGCAGCTCTGCTCAGTTTACAGGATGGTGGGGCCCAGAGCAACTTGGAAAGAACCATGTAAGGAAGGGACTCAGCAAGGCAGGTGTTTCAAAATATGCAATTATATATAAAATTGATATTTTACATATATACAGTAAAGGGGGAGATATATACACTTTATATATGCTATACATACATTTAGTTACAGTTAAGAATATGCTTCTTAGAAGCTTTTAAATAGCAAATTAGGCAATGCACAAAGAAAACCCATTTAATTTTAAGTAACATAGATAAATGTTTTCATTTTTAAAAATATTATATTAGTAGGAATATAGCTATCTCCAGGAAGGCTAGGAAAGTTCGCAGAAACTCTTGCATCTTCAACATTCTGACTTCTCAGTGTTTCCATTTTGAGCAGGAACCATGTCAATCAGTTGTCCTCTCTCACTTTCTCTTGAGTGCACTCTCTCCCACAGGTGTTTCCCTTCACTTCCCCTTCCCTGAGCTTAATGTCACACTGGGGAAAACTCAGATTTTAGTTTCTGGACCCTCAGCAATGAGGGGCTGGAAAGAGTTTCTAATCCTGGCAACTTCCACTGCACACAGATGTCCAAAGCCTTTATTGTACCATTCTGGGGAGTGACCTCTGTGGGGACAAAAATCAGAAAGGAATTGGGAAAGTCTTTTTCTACAACACAGCAATTTGTCATGGTAGACAGGGCTGTCCTTGTGCCCTGATCATCAGTACATTTGCATACCATCTGGGGCTGCCTCCTCGAGGGTCTGAGAACCCAGTGTTCAGACTATCTTCAGTACTTACTGGGTGCTTTAAAATATTATCTCCTCTGAGAAGATTCAGACTGAATTCTAGAACTGACTGAGAGAACTCAGTTTGTATCTACCAGACCAAGAACTTGGTTCAGCATCATGAATGTCTTGAAAAGTTTGGATTTAAGTTAGTTTCTTTTGAAAGGAGGGCACTGGAAGGAGCAGCAGAAGGAGGCAGACATAAAGGAAATGCCAGAGAGGAGACTCATGTTATGTGTTGAACTCCGGTGTTTGTGTTTGCTCTGTGCGAGAAGCATGGACACAGGAGTGGGGACAGAACTGAAAACAGAGAAGAGCAAAGGGCTCCAGGAAAATGACAGAATCTTAGGAAAGGTGGAGAAGAGGAACAGAGAGTGGGAGGCATACATAATCATCTATAAAAGCATGTTAATGGCTATTAGGGGGAAAAAGTATAATTAAATAAGAAATCAGGATGACAGACAGGCAAATGTGCCACTTGAGCTGAGACTCCAACACCATGCCTGCCCTCCTGAGGGGTTCACACTTACTTCAGGTCTATCCTGCAGATGTGGGTCAGTCTTGACTTGCCCGAACCACATGGTTCTATTAAGTACTGAGAATCCATCACTATGGCTCGCACACCGCCCATGAGCTGAGCTTCCTCGTGCTCCACAGAGAGGGAGACCAGGGTACACATTCCTTTGGGCAAATCAGTCTTCCAGGTCCTGTAGTGAAACAACCCACACATCAGAGTTATGGCTAAGAGAGAAAGACTTGAACACAGTGCTGAGGTTTACACATATTTTCCTGCTCAAATTCCAATCCTAGTTACTTGGATTAAGCAAATGACTCCCATATGTTTGGGTAAAGTTTATACAGTGCAGTTCAAAGCAAGAGTCTCAGTCCAAGAACCCAGAGACAGAAATGGCCATGCAGCACCCAGACCTTTGGAAACAAACTGAGGCTACAGAGGTCTTACAGATTTGGAATTAAGAAGCACTCATTCAGCTCATTCAGTAAACATCTAATGACCACAGAGATGTGCCAAGCTCTGAGAAGCCACCAAGGGCACAGAGATACACAGTCCAGGAGGGGAAGCAGAAATACAAAGATAATTCTAAAACATCGTGGTCAGTGTAGTGACATGGAGATGCACAGAGCGCTCTGGGATCATGTGGAAGGGAAGGGGAGGCACACAGGGAAGCCTTCCTAGAGGAGATAATGCTCAATTCAAGTCTTAAAGGATAAATGAACTGGTGATGCTCAGCTTGAAGAAAACTAGACTATTTGGACTGCTATCTTTCTATAAATACCTGAGTGGCTCTTGAATAGGAGAAGAAATAAATACAGTTGATTTGACTTTAGAGAAGCCCTGTCTCACAATGTATGCTTTCCAAAAACGGAGTGGGCTCTATGAGGAGGTAGTGAGTTCCTGTTATTGAAGCTATTCAAGCATGGAGGGAACTAACATTTGGAGTAAAATTGTTGATGAAAGTCAGGAGCTATGAGAGCACTTATACAATATATACTATAGGGTATAGATTTTATTATTACCATCCCAGTTTAAGTCATAAATTCTATTCCCTTACTTAGTCACCTCATCTATAACTTCCTCCTGTCCTATGATACCACAAAGAGAAACTATTATACATTCTCAACAAGAAGTCAGGAGTAAGCAAGTCCCACACAAGTGCTTAGGGACTTCCCCATGGGCATGACCATTCTCTTTTCATGCATGATAATGTGATTAATAATAAAGATGGGAAAATTATACATTTGTGTAAGCAAAATGGAAAAATCTGCAGTAACTATTACTGGAAGCTCCTGAGGAACTAGAGAAGAGAATAATGTGAGAATCAATCATGAAAGGAGACCAGCCATGTACGTGTGAGCCTAAATAGGGAGATACTCTGATGACAGAAATTATTTCAGTATGTCACTTCCTCACCATACTTGCCACTTTTTAGCTTCTTGTTTCATAATCACAAGAAATTCGTGTTGCAGGAACTACATATGGCTCATCATTTATCTCCTTGCGTTCTGACTTCTTCTCCCTCAGAGTCTCATGGCCTACCCACCTTCTCCTTTAAGTCTTGGATCAAGTATCAATGCAGTGAGATTCTGCCCTGACCACTATATTTAAAATCCCACCCCTTACTTTGCCCTTATCTTACTTATGCCCCTATATAAGTAACCCTTACTTATTATGTATTGACTCTCTCTGCCTAATAAAATAGAAACATGAGAGAGCAGGATTGTGGTCTGCAGTGTTCCCCGCTGTTCCCCAAAGCCTCCAATGGAGTCCTGCTCAGGTGGTGATGGAAGGATACACTAAGAAATAGCATTCTGGTGGATGTATGGAAGGAAGGAGGCTCCAACCTTGACTGGCCTTCAGCCTCCTCTAAAGGGGAAGGAAGAGGCTCCATTCCCATGGCATAAATATTCTATGTGAAAAGCAACCTTTAGTTTTCCATCAAGACTAGTTTCATAAAGGAAATATTTTAAATATACATATGGGAATTTCACTAGTGATTCCTTTTATATCACTAATCCAAGAGAAACAACAGTGTTTGCCATCAGCTATCAATAAAAAAGGATATATTGATTTAATTACATTTTATATGAGTTTTTTAGTATCCTGAATCCCTCTTATTTCTGATTCAATACTGACTCACCAGCCCACATGCACACATCCACTGTGCAAACTTCCTGTCACTGGTTGAGCATTCCATTACGAACTCAACCCATAAATCTCTCAGAAGAAATATTTCAGCAGCAGACACAGTCTTGCAAGCTTGGTCAGACCCTGGAATCTACTGGGCATCCAGCATAGTTGGACCTTCAGAGCTGTAATGAGCTATGAGCAGCTGAAGCTATGCAAATGAATTCTAAAGTTACATTCCAATCTCGAGAGTTACACAAACCCTCCAGAGGGAGAAAGACAAAAAGCAGGAGAAAGTCAGACTCAATTTACATTATTTGGCAGAAAGTACAACTGGACAAACAGCAGTTATTCTTAGGACTCTGATCTGAGGAAATGAACAATATTTATGGCCTAATAAACTGTATGCTCCAAAATTGCAGCAGTCATAAGAGAGCTCAACAGAGCTGAAAATTAGGTGAAGAAGTAGGAAGTTGGGCATAAATGGAGCAAATTCAGTTTTTGCTGAGGGAAATGAGGGCCAACTTAGTATTCCCATTGCAGGCTGAATTTAGGTGGTCAAACTCTGTGAAATGCTTAAATCTGCAGCTTTATCTGCTCTAGGAACAGAATATATTTAACTCTAGAATCAAGCTTACCTGAGAACCACAAAGTCTCTGGAAGGATGGGGGGCCATGCTGTTCAACACGTACTGATAGATTTCTGTTTGCTTGTCCAGAGTTTCCACAACCTTCCACTGCACAAAATCCTCATCCCACAGGTGGCGCTCTCTTAGCACACGATTCAAAACCACTGAAGGGGGTGCTTCCACCTCCACGGAAGCCTTCCATAACTTCAGTGGATTCCCGTCTCCCACCTTGGGAAAGATACCATCAAAGGCTGAACAGGTTAACTAGTTCCAACAAAAACCTACCACATTTCATTGGGTGTTCCAAAAAAAATCACTAATTATGCACCTTAAAAGAGTGATTCTGCATATCTGAGGTTTACCATTTCAGAATGGTAATCCTAAAGATTAAAAAATAATAATAGTGATCATAAAATAATAACCATTGATAAACATTAACCTCTTTGCCAAGTGTCTTTCTAACCCATTTGATTTTTAAATAGCCCTCCTCTGACAGTGGTATTATTATTATGAGGCATAAAGAGGTGTGTGACTTGCCTAACATTACATAGCTAAGGGCCAGAGAGTGGATTGGGATCTAGTAGTCTGGCTTCACAGTCTGCATTCTGATTATGTGCAACATGATTGCCTCGCAGTCACTAGAAAGAGTCTTTGGCATGTTCATGTGTGTGCCAAGCCTGTGGACAGTGGATGTTTTAAAGCAAAACAATTTCTTGGTTGTTGGATGTAGTTCCTTTGGGGTAGTTTTTTTTTTTTACCACCCCTGAGATTACCTTTTTGAAAGCAAGGTCTGTATTGTCTGTGCTGGAACACGTAACCCATCCTTTAAACTTCTCTTTGGCTTCCTTCTGGAGGCCCTGGATGAGCTGGTCCAGGTAAGTGTGGAATGTGGCCCCACTTTCCTCCACCTGGGTCCCCAGGTCTTCCAGAGTTGGAATATGGATCTCAGCCTCCACGTAAGAATTATGAAACTGGGCTACCATCTCATGCGGGACCTGAACCAATGGGTGCATGAAAGAGCAACAGATGCATGAGTTAAAGAAATGCTGAGACCAACAGAAAAAGCAAAGTCATTTAGTAAAAAAACGGTGTGTATCAGAATGGGCCAAGTGCTGTGGACCAGATGTTTTACTAAGATGAGTGGCAAAGCTGGTGGTAGGGGGTGGGGCTTCCTAAAGGCAGGAAACACAAATATGTTTCTGAGACTATATTTATTACTCAAAACATAGCAATGATTTCTCATTCAGTCTTTCCATTTTCCCTTTAATGTATTTTTATTCAGTTTGGCAAAATGTGGGCTCAGGAAACTTAAAGCACAGACTTAAGGGAAACATCAACTATGACTTAGAAATGGCTTTGCCTCTTTAGCATACTTTTCTCACTTGCAAATGCCAAATGTACCACAAAAAAGTATGTCTGAAGTCTAGTTCACTTTCTTTAACATAGCTGTGGCTATATCCATAAGCTATTCTTGATTCTTCGTTAACAGGGATTGGTCAACACACACACACACACACACCCCCCAGAAACACACACAGAGATGTTGAACCTAATCACGTCCTGAGGTAAAAAAATAAATAAATGAATAAAAGAACAGCCCAGCTGGTGTGGCTCAGTGGTTGAGCATTGACCCATTCTCCAAGAGGTCGTTTCCCAGTCAGGGCACATGCCCTGGTTGCGGGTTTGAACCCCAGTAGACAGCAGGCAGCCAGTCTATTTCTCTCGCATTGATATTTCTATCTTTCTCTCTCTGAAATCAAGAAAAACATATTTTTTAAAAAGAAACTAATTGTCTGTCTTGCCTTGAACCTGGTAACTGATGGTGACATAACTATTCTCATGAAAACCATCATCATGGTAACTCCAAATATTTAACTGTCAAGACTCAATTATATAGATACCTTCTCACATTTCTTGGATTCAAAGACCACAGCTATAGAGGGTACTATTGTCATTATAAACTCAGGAACAAACATATAAGCCATGAGTGTAGAAATTGTTCCAATGATCTCATCTAGTTCCAAGAGCTATAAAGAAGGAAGTTCAAGCCTTTCACTCACCTCAAAAAGTCTGTCACATTCCATGATCATGTGGGAAAGGCCCTGAGAGGCGGCCAGATTCTCACTGAGGTCCTTTTGATCTGGCTTCCCAGTGGCGTATTTCTTCTGTATGACCCTGTAAGTGAAGGGGACAGTCCTAAGCAGATCTCAAACCAAAGAGCTTTTCACAATAAAAGCTCACCCCTTTTCTTTTTCTTTTTCTTTTTTCAGGTGCTCTCCTGATCCCATACTTTCTCATTTCCAAACAAAAGCAATGACCACACATATTAGATGTTCTGAATCAGGCTAAAAGTCTGACAATTCATAATGAAAAACCTTGGAAAAATACAAGGACAGGAATAACTGTTGGGGGAGAAATTAATCTATTTTTTCCAAGTTTGAAACCACTTTGCTGGAAGCTGCTGTGCCTGGGCCTTGAATCTAGTCCTTTCCTTTTAAACTTAAAGATTGTAAAATACTACTTCATGTACTTTTCCCTCCTTCCCACTCACACACCCAGGTTTTCTGGGTCACAACAGACATTCTTCAATGCTACTTTGACAATTCTATGAATCTGAGCACACAAATTAGGTCCTTAAAACATTTTCTGGTTATAAATTAAGAGCTGACAAATCCTCAAGTTGAAATCCAATGTGAAAAGTTTTTGTTTGTTTGTTTTGTTTTTTAATGAACTGTGGGTTTTATCTCGTTTACGATTCCTGTTGTTGCTGAGGAAAACCCACCTGGGGGAGCTTTCTTTCTTCAATAAATTGAGATGAAAGAGAGAGGGGGCCAGACACACAGCCAGGTTCTTGGGTGTCATCTGATTCTCTTCCACCAAGTTGGCAACATCCTTGAGGAAGCACAGAAGCGTCTGCAGGACGTCCCTGCTCTCATCAGCCAGCAGCAGGATGGCAGCCTGCACTGCCTGCAGCCGCTGCTCTTCGGGAACATCTGTGGAAAAGTGGGTGCCAGGGCATCAGAGAAACAGCCACAGAAAGAGCCAGATGGGAAAAAAGTGAGTAAGCTGAACCTTCCTGATGTGAAGACACACTCAGAGACATCATCATCAACCATGACGACAACTGCTAAGAAAGAAGTAATTGCTCTGGCCTTACAGTTGGTAAGAGACAGAGCTGGGATTGGAACCTCAGCATCCAACTTCAGAATCCAGTCTTCACAAGGAAGTAGCCCTTGCTTTTCATACTCTGCTCATCCTTTTTCAAACCATTTTTCTGTTCTGGTTGAAGTAGGCAGTAAGCCAGAGCACTATCAGCCTGGCTTTCCCATTGCCCATCCCCTCCCACCAAGACAGCTTGCAAACCACTCTGGATGCCTGGGACTCAGTGGGGCATGGTTTGGAATCCACTGTGTTGGGGGATGGCAGCCTTGCCTTTCCTTGCCGAGTGGAGCAGCCAGGAGTGATGTCAACTTGGTGCAATTAACCATGAATGGTGGGATTGATTTGCTTGGCCCCCTGAACTGATGCCAGAAGGCCAGCCTGGCACATTTACTTCTTTCCTACAAGCCACCGGGGCTTGGTTCAGAGGAGGCACATGGCTTTATGTGGTGACTCAGGCCATCTGTTCTAATCTTGAAAGTAATGGAAATTGAGGTTGTGTTTACGGAAGAAGAACCAGGCTCACTAAAACTATGGGGAATGGATGGTCCCATTCCTCTTTAGGTTGGTCATTGTGGTGGTGGGGGTGGTAATGTAGGCATTGGTCACGCAGACTTAAATAGAAATTGGCCCCAATAATATGAAGTATACTAAAAGGAAAAATCACAACAAATGGGTGCTAGGTGCTTGATTTTGCTGCCCACTGGTTGTGTTTTTTTAGGCCTGACTCACTGCCCTTATTCTCTCATTCTGAAAGACACAGTCAATAATTCTCTTCAGTTAACATTGTTTCATTCTTAAAATACCAAGTTCTAGAACAGGTCTCTGCAGTAGGCTGCCTATGCTCAATGGGGTGGTGGGGAGATGTGCTTGTGATAATCTTCAAGGTGTGGGAAGAAAATATTAGAATTTTTAGTGGCGTTTATGTCTCCTTTCATGGATATGTTACATAATATGCATAGTATGGTATAGTATATCATAATATATTTGTATTATTAAAAATAAGTATACATGCTCAGATATTTACTCTTGGTAGAGTTGCATGAAAAACAATGTGGCGGCATAAAGAAAATAGGAGAAACCAAGATGGCGGCATATGTTAACTCTGAAGTTTGCTGCCTTGAACAACCACTTCAAAAATACAACTAAAAGACGGAACGGACATCATCCAGAACCACAGGAAGGCTGGCTGAGTGGAAGTTCTACAACTAGGAGGAAAGAGAATAGCATACCAGCTCAGAGGAGGCGCAGTGCTGAAGTGAAA